AGGGATCTCTTTGCTGGTGCTAAGGCAGTATTCTCTTGCTTTACCTGTGCTTGGATCTACATCACAGTTCTGGATGGCAATCCTAGGGTGAGGAGGAGCACTGGTGTGGTGGAGCTTGTAGTGGTAGTGCAGAGAGAATCCTCCTCACAGTTCCAAGGCAGAAAAGAATGCTCATGGTCACTTACAGAGCAGAGCACAGGCCAGGAAAGGAGTAAACTCCTCACCTTTGATCATACCACTTTGGAAGAACTGACAATTTACAGGTCCCTAAAAGTATCACTCAGAACAGCTGCACAAAACCCCTGAAGCTTGGGACAGTACATTCTCCACACTGGAAGCAGACCCCTACCTTAACAAAGAGTTTAAAACTCAAGTAATTGGCTGGGCATGAGCAAACTGCACAAAAAAAGTCAGACCACAGAATTTTTCTTTGGTGACAAAGAAGATCAAAACATACAATCAGAAGAAGACAACAAAGTCAAAGCTCTTACATCCAAAGCCTCCAAGAAAAATATGAATTGGCCCCAGGCCATGGAAGAGCTCAAAAAGGATTTTGAGAAGCAAGTAAGAGAAGTAGAGAAAAAACTGGGAAGAGAAATGACAGTGATACAAGAAAATCATGAAAAACAAGTCATGCTAAAGGAGACCCCCCCAAAAAAATACTGAGGAAAATAGCACCTTAAAAAATAGACTAACCCAAATGGCAAAAGAGGCCCAAAAAGCCAATGAGGAGAAGAATGCCTTAAAAAGCAGAATTAGCCAAATGGACAAGGAAGTCCAAAAGCTCACTGAAGAAAATAATTTCTTAAAAATTAGAATTGGGCAAGTGAAAGTTAAGGACTCCATGAGACATCAAGAAACAATAAAACAAAAGCAAAAGAATAAATAAAAATAGAAGAAAATGGGAACTATCTCATTGGAAAAACAAGTGACCTGGAAAATAGACCAAGGAGATATAATTTAAGAAATGTTGGACTACCGGAAAGCCATGATCAAAAAAACATCATATTTCAAGAAATATTCAAGGAAACTGCCCTGATATTCTAGAAGCAGAAGGTAAAATAGAAACGGAAATAATCCACCAATCACCTCTGGAAAGAGATCCCAAAAAGAAAATTCCCAGGAATAGCCAAATTCCAGAGCTCCTAGGTCAAGAAGAAAATATTACAAGCAGCCAGAAAGAAACAATTCAAATCTTATGGAGTCACAGTCAGGATCATACAAGATTTAGTAGCTTTCACATTAAAGGAGTGGAGAGATTGCAATATGATATTTGGAAGGCAAATGATCTAGGATTACAACTGAGAACCACCTACCCAGAAAAACTGAGATATTTAATGAAATAGAGGATTTTCAAACATTCCTGATGGAAAGATAAGAGCTGAATAGAAATTGTAAGTTTTAAAGACTCAAGAGAAGCATAAAAAAGGTAAACAGTAAAGAGAAATCATAAGGGGTTCAATAAAGTTAAACTGTTTCCATTCTTACATGGCAAGATGATATTTATAACTCCTAAGAACTTTATTATCATTAGGATAGTTAGGAGTATTCATAGACAGAGGGCATGGATGGGAGTTGATTATGATGGGATTATATAAAAAAGTCAAGGGGTGAGAAAGGGAATTGCACTGGGAGAAGGGGGAAGGGAGCGGTAGAATGGAGTAAATTATCTCACATAAAAATGCATGAAAAAACTATTACAATAGAAGGGAAGATGGGGGTAGTGGTGGGCAATGCTTGAACCTTACTCTCATCAGAATTGGCTCAATGAGGGAATAGCATACTCACTTAGATGTGTATAGAAATCTATCTTACACTTCAAGGAAATAGGAAGGGGGTGCTGATAGAAGGGAGGACAGGTTGGGAGAGGCAGTGTTAAGAAGCAAAACACTTTTTAGGAGGGAAAGGGTAAAAGGAGAGTGAGAAGGATAAACGGGGGAAAAGTAGGATGAAGGGAATACACAGTAATCATAACCATGAATGTGAATGGGATGAACTCACCAATAAAATGGAAGCAGATAGCAAAGTGGATTAAAAACCAGAATCCTACAATACGTTGTTTACAAGAAACACACTTGAATCTGAGAGACACACACAGAATAAAGGTCAGGGGCTGGAGCAGAATCTATTATGCTTCAGCTGAAGTTAAAAAAGCAAGGGTAGTAACCATGATCTCAGACAAAGCAAAAGCAAAAATAGAGCTAATTAAAAGAGATACGCATGGAAACTACATTTTGCTAAAAGGTACCACAGACAATGAAGTAATATCAGTACTAAACATATGCACCAAATGGTATAGCATCCAAATTTTTAAAGGACAGGATGTAAAATGGATAATTTTTATTACATTAAATCAAAAAGGGTTTGTACAAACAAAACCAATGCAGCCAATATTAGAAGGAAAGCAGAAAAGGGGGGGGGCAGCCAGAGAATTAGAGGAAATTTCTCTGATAAAGGCCTCATTTCTCTCTCTCTCTCTCTTTTTTTAAGGCAATTGGGGTTAAGTGACTTGCCCAGGGGCACACAGCTAGTAAGTGTCAAGTGTTGGGTCTGAGGCTGGATTTGAACTCAGGTCCTCCTGATTTCAGGGCCAGTGCTCTAACTACTGCGCCACCTAGCTGCCCCTCATTTCTCAAATATACAGAGAATTAAGTAAAATTTATAAGAATGCAAGTCATTCCCCAACTGATAAATGGTCAAAGGATATGAACAGGTAGTTATCAGAAAAAAGAAATCAAAGCTATCTATAGTCATATGAAAAAACACTCTAAATCATTATTGACTGTAGAAATGAAAATTAAAACAATTCTGAGGTACTACCTCACACCTATCAGATTCACTAATAGGACAAAAATGGAAAATGACAAATGTTGTAGGGGATGTGGGAAAATTGGGACACTAATGCACTGTTGATGGAGCTATGAACTGATCTAACCATTCTGGAGAACAATTTGGAACTATGCGCAAAAGGCTATAAAACTATATATACCCTCTGACCTAGCAATATCACTATGAGATCTGTATCCCAAAGAGATCAAAAAAAAGGAAAAGGACCTATATATACAAAAATATAGCAGCTCTTTTTGTGGTGGCAAAAAACTAGAAATTGAGGGGATGCCCATCAATTGGGGAATGGCTGAACAAGTTGTGGTATATGATTGTAATGAGATACTATAGTACTAAAAGAAATGACAAGCAGGATGAGTTCAGGATAAAAAAACCTGAAAAGACTTACATGTGTACAGCAGAGAATAAAAGAAAACTTACAAGGAAGCAAAGAAAAAATGGATAGCTCTCAAAACAATGAATAGTATTTATTATATAAGCTTTCTTGAAATGGAAACTCATTGCTGTATATTTTGAATCCTCTTCATGTTCTGCTGTGCACATGGCAATACTTTTTTTTCTTTTCTTATTTCTTATTACTTTAGTTTTAGTATTGAAGTATTTAGCATTTAAGTTTGTTTTTTTTTCTTATTTTGTATTTAAGTTTAAAATAAAAAATTTACAAATAAAAAAAGCTTTTTTTCTTTGTATTTAAGTTTCAATATTTAAGTTTATAATATGTTTCTTTTTCTTTTCTTATTGTATATTTAAGCTATAGTATTTAAGTTTAAAATGAAAAAAAATTAAAAATCAAAAACATTTTTAAATGACTTACATGAACTGATACAAAGTGAAATGAGCAGAACCAGGAGAACACTGTACATAGTTAACAACAATATTGTACAGTGATCAACTGTGAATGAATTAGCTATCTCAGCAATACAATGATACAAGATAATTCTAAAGGACTTCTGATGAAAAATGTTACTCATCTCCAGAGAAAGAAGTGATGGAGTCTGAATGCATATCAAAACATACTTTTTTGTTACTTTATTTTGGGAGTGTTTTTGGTCTGTGTTCTCTTTTGCAACATGGCAAATATGTAAATACGTTTTATATGAGTACACATGTATAGCCTATATCAAATTGCTTGCCTTCTCAATGAGGAAAGAGGGGAGTGAGAGAGGGAGAGTATTTGAAACTCAAAATTTTAAAAAACACATGTTAAAATTGCTTTTACATGTAATTGGAAAAAATACAAAAACTTAAAATAAAATAAAAATATTTCTTATATGGGATTACTCTCTGGGAGGAAGGAAGGAAGGAAATGGATATTTATTAAGTGCCTACTCTGTGCTAGGCACTATGCTAAATATTATCTCATTTGTTCCTCACAGCAACCTTAGAAGATAGGCGCTATTATTACCCTCAATTTGCAAATGGGGAACTTGAGGCAGACAGATGTTAAGTAACTTGCCCAGGGTCACACAGCTTGTAAGTGTCTGAGGCAAAATTTGAACTCAAGTCTTCATGACTCTAGGGGTGATGCTCCCTCTACTGCACCACCTAGCTGCTGGAAGGGGGAAAGGGAAGGGATACTGGTAGAAATTCTTGTGATGTAAGGGCAACTGACATGAGCTAGAGAAGGAAATAGCAAACCATCCCCATATCTTTGTCAAGAAAACCCTAAAAAGGGTCACAGAGAGTTGGACACGACTGAAAAACGACTCAACTACAGCAACAACAAAAAAAGAAATCCTTTTTCTTTCATTCGATCATTAAATTTATAAGATGGAGCTAAAAATTCGTGTAGTAACTACAGGGTTGTTGTGAGCCTCATATAAGGTAATGATATGTAAAGGACTTTGCAAACTTTAAAGCACTATATAAAAGTTATCATTAATAGTAGTAAAAATAATAAACAAAAATAGATTGTAAGCTTCTTTAGTGGTGGTTTGATTTACCTGGCACATGCTGCCTCTCATCCCTCCCTCAGGGCCTTGCTGCTTCAACTAACCAGGCTTGCACACTCTGTGAGTGGCAGTTAGTTGGCAGTAGGTGGGGAAGTCTGGCCCCTCCTCCATAGGAGTTGTTTCTCTGGATGATGGCTATGAGGGCTGGGCCGGAAGTAGGAACAGTGGTCTGAGTGGTGCTGACTTTCAGTTTGGGTTGAATGGTGAAGTCAGAGGCAATATTGCAGTGGGTTTAGAAGAAAATGAAAGGAGAGGAAGTAGAGGGACCAAACATAGACAGCTTTCTCAAGGAGTTTAGTCACAAAGAGAAGGAGAGATGTAGGACAACAGTTAGCAGAGATCAAGTAAGAGGTTTTTAAGAATAGGTGGTGGGATATGGGTCGTGTTTGTGTAGGCAGCAGGGAAAGAGCAAGTAGACAGGGAGAAATTAAAGAGACAGAGACACAGAGAAAATGAGGAAGAATTGTGGGGGGACTTTACTAGAAAAGATAGGATGGGATGAGATCAAAGGTGCATGTAAAGAAGGACTGACCTTGGCAAGGAGAAGAGACACCTCTAATTTGGAGACCAAAGTGAAAGAAAAGATCATTGAGAGAAGACATACGAATGATGTGAGCTGAGGAGGAAGGGAGAAGGGTGAGCTCTCAACAACTGGACTCAATTTTTTCAGTGAATTATGAGGAAGGGCCTCAGCTGAGGGAGTGAAAGGAGGGGGTTCTCTAGGAGGCTTAAAAAAGGATGAAAACGTTTGCAACAGCTGTTGTGAAATAGATCAGGGAGGAACAGGATGTCTGCCTTGCTGCAGTGAGGGTCCGGTTGAGATTAGATAACATAAATTTATAGTTGACCCCCGATTTCCTTCAGCTCCATTCGGTCACATGTGAAGAGAAGGCAAGGAGGCAGATGGTAAGAGCAATTCAGGGTTGGGGTTTGGTGGGACTTGATCAGCGATAGGACTTCAGAGAAGAAATTAGTGTAGTTAGTTAGGTTGGGGTGGGGAGAGTAGGGTCAGTGCAGAGGTCATGGCCTGGGAAAGAACAAAGGAGGAGAGGGAACCATGAGAAACAGAACAATGAGAAAAGGACTGAAGAAGGCTCTGGAAAGTGGAGGGAAAACTGAGGTAGGTAGAATGTTGTTTTTCACATGGTGACGTCATGAGAATCAAAGTAACGTGGTGCTGATCTCACTCAAATCCTTTTCGACTCATTTTTTTGTGGTCCAAAGAAAATAAAAATTCCTCTGTGGCCAAACACCATGAGCAAGCTCTTTGCAATGACCCAGAGCCTGGCAAGCTTTGAAAGAGCATGCCAAAGTGACTAGATGCCAAGCCTTATGTATCCTCCAGATCATCTATTCTACCTAGTCACAGACATACATGTGATCTTATTCTTTTCATTATGCCTAAAAAGCCACGCACATGGCTTCTTGTTCTTTTTGAGAGAGGTTGTGTTTCCCAGATGAATTTCACTGAGGGGAAATGCATGAGCCGATTGAATAGACAAGATTTTGGTGGGGAAGCGATAGGATTATGTCACAAGTCGCACTCATTCAGGCATTCAACAACCATCCATGTTGTTACTATTACTATAGTAATATATTCTATATGTCCATATAATTATAATAGGTCCAACTACAGACCTCATCAATAACACTCCCATTCCTCCTATCAAGATTAAACGAACCACATCGCATACGTGTGACTTTGCAAAGATATTCTCACTGCCATAATATATATTATTATATTATATATTATAATCTATATTATATAGTAACATATACTATATATAATATGAACTATAGTTACTATTAGTAACTATAGTTACTATTACTATGTGTAATGCACTGGGTTTAGTGCTAAGGAGGATAGAAAGATGATTAAACCATAGTCCCTGACATCATGGAGCTTAATAATGGTAATGATGATGATGATGATGATGATGATGATGATGATAGTAGCTAGGATTTATATAGAACCTACTACGTGCCAGACACTGTGTTAAGTGCTTTCCAAATATTATCTCAGTCAACCCTCACAATAACCCTAGGAGGTAGGTGCTGTTATTATCTCCTTTTTATAGTTGAGGAAACAGAGGCAAACAGAGGTGAAGTGACTTGCTCAAGGTCACACAACTACTAAGTGAACTCGGGTCTTCCTGATCCCAGGCCCAGCACTCTATCTAATGCACCATCTCACTACCTCATCAGATCTTATGATCTAATATGGGAATCCAGGGGGAATACCCCACACACGGGTATGCAAAAACCATATAAATGAAACATAATGTAATGTATAACAGAACAAAAAGAACATAAGACAGGGTCAATTTCCTATTTAAGCTTCAAATGGGGAAAATTAGTTTTTGACTGAGACAGAGCAGGGAAGCTGACATTAAAAAAAAAAAAGCTAGTCAAGCCAAGTCACCAAGTGGAAAGAATGCTAGACTTGGACCCCAAAAAGGATTCAAATCCCATCTCATGTGATCACGGAGAAGTCACTGAACTTTTCTGATCCCCAGTTTCCTCACCTCTAAAATGAGGATAATAATACGTCACAGACTTGTTGTGAGGATAAAACCAGAGAGTGTTTGTAAAGTGCTTTGAAGATGTTCAAGCCTTGCACCTAGAAGGTCTTTAATAAATATTTATTGAATTGAAAGTTTGAATATAAATGTCAGCTATCATTATTGTTAAGGCCATAAGCATTTCCAAAGTTAGTGCCCACCCTCCTGCTGTGTGCCTAGCACATCACTTAGGACTCTAGCTAGCTAATACATGTGAACCTCTACCAAGGTCAAAGTCCTAGCGGTCTCTGGAGGCCACCCACCGTGGCATTATTGCTTTTTTATACCATACAACTGAATACTTAGGCCTACCCATAAAATGTTGTCTTTTCATTATATAAGGCACATCCATTAGTGACTAAAGAATTATTCATCATAGTTTGTAACTAGTAATTAAGTCATTTAAAAGCACTGAAGCATTTTCTTGGAAAGGAAAAAGAAACTTCATATCTGAGAAATTTTGTGACCAGTCTTAGTCACAAAATGATTTAGGTGAGGAAAAAGAGCTACTCTGGGTCAAATCTGGAAGAAATGCAATATAGAGAATCCCTTGCCTCCTATTTCGTTAAAAATGAATTAATCTTAAGTCAACATGCTTCAACACAGAACCATATTTCTTCCTTTCTTTCCTCTCTGTACAATACACATGGCAATGCAATTAGAAGAATAAGAGTCTGATTGTTTCTTCTGTAGAAATGATATACTTAAAGGATGCTTGCCTTCCATAGTGCAAAAAGATAGGTTTTTTTCAGGATCCATATGAAAATGTCCGTCTTTCTTTTTCTTTCTTTCTTTCTTTTTTTCTTTCTTTCTTTCTTTCTTTCTTTTTTTCTTTCTTTCTTTCTTTCTTTCTTTCTTTCTTTCTTTCTTTCTTTCTTTCTTTTTCTTTCTTTTTTCTTCCTTCCTTCCTTCCTTCCTTCCTTCTTCCTTCCTTCCTTCCTTTCTTTCTTTCTTTCTTCTTTCTTCTTTCTTTCTTTCTTTCTTTTCTTTCTTTCTTTCTTTCTTTCTTTCTTTCTTTTTCTTCCTTCCTTCCTTCCTTCCTTCCTTCCTTCCTTCCTTCCTTCCTTTCTTTCTTCCTTTCTTTCTTTCTTCTAAAGCTAGGATCTAACTGATATAAAAGTGCTTTCTTTCCCCTACCCCACCCCAGGGCTCCTGTTCAGACGTTTACTGTAGGGGGCAGGCAAATGGAGCTAATGAAGGAGACTTAAATCAGAATCCACACTATTTCCAGCAATGACTGTGGGATTGGCTGTTTTGTAGATGAAGGAGAGAAAATTCTCCAAGCCCATATTTTGTCCATATGAACATATACATACGTGACTAAGTTCTGCACACATGCCAACCTGATACTACTTAAATCTTAAGTTTCTTTGCTACTCTCACCTGACCAGTGCGAGGAACCCCTGCCCAAGGCCTCTGGTTCTGGACACATACTTTCTCTTAAATAGAGTGCTTCATTTTGCACCTATCTATGGACCTCATCAACAACACTCCCATTCCTCCTATCAGGATTAAATGAACCACATGGCATACATGTGACTTTGCAAAGACATTCTCACTGCCATAAAAATAGCCTGCTCAAGCATCTGAAGGCACAGTTCTCACTCTCCTTCTAAATTGGGGACATTGCTCTAAAATAGTGTTAGAAACATGGTTCATTAAAAGAGAATGTAAGGGAGAGGGTGTCCCTCTTTTGCTAGACTCTGAGGACTTTCCTTGATCCAGGTTTTGGGCTCAAAGGGCTATCTATTGGAATGTATTGCCTTGATTTGTTGCAAGTTACTGAAAGGTGAAAGCGAACCGCTTTGTAATTATGGTCCTTTCTTAAGAGCCTTGAAGATAGAAGTATGGGAAATCGATAGCTGTAATTTTTTTCTGTTGCTGTCGTACTCATTAATTAATCGATGGTATTTACTAAGACACTTTCCGATTCTTTCAATGACAGTGAGACCTAGGATCTACACTAGAAAGCATTGCAGGATTTTGCACATGTGGCTGGATTGTTTAAGGGACCCATAGTCTACTTCTGATCTTACCATTTTTCCTAGCAACTGAAAATATTAAACTGGACTCCTTGAGTCATTGGCAAGCGTGCGTGCGCACGCACACACACACACACACACACACACACACACACACACATGTTCCTACAAAGGAGAATTTTGGTACACCCACTTTGAGCATAAAACTTAAGCTACTTTGGCTAAATGTGCACTTGGAAAACTGAAGCCTTGTTTTTTCAGACTTAGTGTCCACATGCACAACAGCAGAAACACTTCACTATTATGTGTCCTACACACAGTGGATGCTCATAAATTCATTGAACTGAATTGGTTCTGACTGTAACCTACAGTCTAATCAATCCACAGTAGCCTGCCTACACAGTGATGTGATTGGCAGAAATATAGACATATCAGGCACACCAATCATGCCACCATCTAGGCAGATCATGGCCAATCAATTATATCTAAAGTTATAGAGGGGATAGCTCTGAATCTATTCTGTCATTATGTGGAAATGCAGCCATAAGGTATTATGGGATTTAGAACTCATTCTTCCTCAGTGGTGAGAAGGAGGGATAGAGAGAGAGAGATTTTATTCAGTATTCACTTTGAAGGATGATACTACTAACAGTGATTATAATCTGTGTGTGCAGGTGTGGCTGAAAAGACCGATTCAGAATGGACAGTTCTTCCCACGCTGAGTTCACTTGAAATGTTCCCTTGATTAGCATCAGCAGCTGTTCTCCAAAAAGAGCCTGTCACTATTTGAAACTCATGGTCTCAGTTCAAATAAAAGTAATTCCATTTAGTTGGGACAAGAGAAGACTTGTGGAGAGGACATGATTACCATCTTCAAATATATAAAGGGCTGTCACATGGAAGAAGGAATACACTTGTTCTGTACCGGTACAGAAGGCAGAACCAGGACCACTGGGGGAAGTTCTAGAGAAGCAGATTTTGGCTCAACCTAAGGAGCAATTTTCTAACAATTAACCATCTGAAAATGGGATGGGCTGTCTTGTGAAACAGAGTTCCCCATCAACAGGTAATTTCAATCACATGTCAGGACATGGTATAGACAGGGTTCCTGCCCTGGGTGAAAGGCTGGAATTAGATGTTTTCCAAGGTCCCTTCCAACTTTGAAAAGCTATGATTCCAGGATTCTTTAGCACTGTAGGTCAGGCTGAACTATCAGATGCTATAATTTCTGAGTGATCCACAATTACACTGTACAATCTAAGGCTGTGTTTCCATAATCCCTTAAACATGAGTTATTAGAACCTTTCTTCTGCCCTCTCTGCTTTGGAATCTCAAGCACTTTGATTCACTATTACAATAGCTGCTTAGAAAGCCTGTTGTGGTCCTTTCTCTAGATACGTCTAGCCCAACAGAGGTATATGACAAAGAGTATCTTTTCAGTATTGCTGCCCTGGATACATTCCAAGCCATCATTGCCCTACCATCTGATGCTCAACGAGAATCATAGATGACTTTGTCAAAACTACTCAAGGAGCCAAATATGACGTCAGTGGGAAGCATCACTCTCATAGCCACAGTGGAGGATAGAAACTGTGATTCCAAAGGCTGACAGTTTGGGGTGGAGTATGATACCATTCTCTGATGGTCCCCAAAGGGACAGACTAGTAGACTGTCATGGGGAATCGCAGTGTACATGATGCCAATGATGCTAAAAGTGATGATTGGCTCTTGCAGGAATGGGAAATATTCGTCGCAAAGATCTATCACTTTTGCTCAGCAAGTATGCCAAATACCAGCCTAGAATCACTAACTTTTTTCCACCTACTGAGCACCTGAACTTTGAAAGCTGTAAGCTTATTGATTGCATTCTAATTTGTCAGGGGGCCTAGGCAAGCACAGTATCTTAATTGCTGTGGTGAATCACGGTACAGCAGACTAAGTGGACTCCTGCCTGGCTGGTTAAATCTGCCACCCTCTTGATCCCACTTAGAAACTGCTTCTTGACTTCTGACTGTTGTCTCTGCTAAGATCCTTGACCATGTCAATCATGCCTACAAACTTATGCCTGTTATTAGCCACACATAATTCTGACCTCTGTTTATCTAACTACAGTTTCCCCTAAGTACTATCTTTGTTATGATCATGCCAAGCCCCAGGACTTCCTGATTTCATTCTTGGCTAAAATGCCCTACCAACCCTGTCCCACTCCCCTGCCTAAATATAGCAGCAGTGTACCAGGAACTGTAGAAAATCACGAGATGACACAGTCTATACCCTCAGGAAGCTTCCACTCTAATTCATTATAATGCTATCCTCAGAGCCCATGTTCTGTAACTGCTATCAATGAGATCGTATTACAATGATGTCCTGCTACTTCAATCATGAAGCCCCCTTGGATGACTCAAACTGATGATCCAGCAGATCTCATGTAGTTGGTAACAGCCTAAAATCTTGGGGGATTAACCTGAACCCTACAATTATTCTACTAACAGAATCAAAGAATTCCAGTAAGAAGGGACCCAAGTCTCTGAAGAAGAATCTCCTCCAGAAATGATGATCTTGAGTGAGTGATAACCCACTACATTCCTAGATAGCCCATTCCATTCTGGGATGGCTCCAAATGTTAGGAATATTTTCCTTACAAGCTGAAATTGACCTCAGTGTGACTTCCAGCCATTGTAATTCATTCTATCCTCTGGGGTTAAGGAGAACAATTTCTACTTAACAGAATCGATGGAAATTAATGAAAAGAAATTTATTAAGTGCTTATGCGCCAGGCACTGTGCTAAGTGCTAGGGATGTAAACCCATGTAAGCAAGACAGTCTCTTCCCTAGAAGAGTTAACATTCTAACAGCAGAAGACAGCATATATAGGGGATTGGTGGTCGGGGGGGGGGGTATTTGGGTCTGAAAAGTCACAGGGCAGGTGACTAGAGCCACAGGGCAACTGATTGACTTGTCCTTTCCAGAAAATGTAGTATTCGCTTGATATTGTACCAAGAGTAAGAGGCAGAAAATTTAGGGAAGGGGGGAGAGTAGGGAGGCAGGAAGAATATGAGCAGTGGCATAGGATGAAGATGGCCAGAGAAGTGTGGAAGGTCTGGGTTTGGGTTAAATATGGCAAACTCTCACCAATCAGAAGCCCAAGGCCCTGGGTGAGCTAGGTTGGAGGTAGAGGCTCTCCAGCTTATCAGTGTCCTTCACAAAATGTTACACCCCAAATTGAACACAATATTCCAAATGTTGTCTGACCATGGCAAAACAGAGAAACACTGTGACCTCCCTAGTCTTGCACATTTTGCCTCTCTTAATTTTTGTCATATGACACTATAAGAAGCAACATGATGTAGGGGAGGGAAAAAAGAGGGCAATGGGAAAACTGGGTTTGAGCCCTTCTTCTGGCACATATCTATTGCATGACCTTAAGCAAGTAACAACTTGTCTGTGTTCTAGGCAACCCTCTAAGACATATCAGGACTCTGAACCCAAGAGCCTTTGGAATAGCAATCCTTTCAATCCCACCACCATCAGCCATTATCCTGAAAAGCACCCTCTATAAAGCCACAGCCTGGCAGCTGCTCCTGCAGGTGCTCCTACATACAGCCACAGCTACTGAAGGCCCAGAAAAGACAATTCTAGCCACCAAAGTCCTTGGCACCATCAATGAGTCAACAGCAAAAAGTGACATGCTCTTATCAGTAGAAATGACACTAAAGAAGAGGCATTCCCATCTGCTCTTCTCTTCTCCCCTGAGGATCATGGGACCTTATTAATTGATTTGCAGCTTAAACCTTCTTTATGTATTACCTCCCCTATTAGAATGCGAGCCCCTTGAGAGCAAGGATTTTCTTTCTTTTCTATGTGTATTCCCAGAGCTTAGCACCATGCTTTGCACACAGTAAATGCTTAATAAATCATTCATTCAAAGACTGTAAGTTGCAGACAAGGTGCCAACTTGCTTTTGTGCAGGAAATGTTCTTATCTGGGAGCTCCCAACACCAATGACAGCACAGACCTTACCCCCATTATACCACACTGTTGACCCACACTGAGTTTTTAGTCCACGGAAACTACAAGATTTTTTTCAGAATCACTGCCATCTACCTCCCCTACTCTATGCTTTTGAGCTTAACTTCTGAGCCCAAAGACAAGATTTTAATTTATCCCTACTACCTTTCATTCCATCAGATTCAGCCCACCATTCTAACCTTTAGGATCCTTGCTCTGCATCCAATATGCAAGCTATCCCTCGTAGCTTTAAGCTATGTACAAATCTGCTATGTCATCTATCCTTCTATCTACATTATTGACAAAAATGTCAAACCCCATAGGGTGAAGGACAGATCCCTAAAGCACTCCATTACAGACTTCTCTCCAAGTTGCTACTCAACCATATTTGGTAACTCTTTGAGTCTGATCATTTAGCCATTTCTGAATCCACCTAACCTTACTATTAATTAGCCCATATCTCTTGTCATCTTGTCCATAAGAAGTGCATGCCAGACTCTATCAAATGCTCTGTTAAAATCTAAGTCCCTGTCAAGCATTTGCTGGGCCTTAAAGCAAGAGCCTGGATACCAGCCAAGACTCACATGCTAAGAATCAGTGGCAAGCACTAACACCTACCTGGCTTCAATCTGGGTTCTGTTCCCTTAGATAAATCTGGTTTTCCTTTTGCTGACCCTTCTACTCTTCTAGTCATGATAGTGTTTTAGAAGGTTTTGCTTTTTTTTTTCTTTAAGATGGAGAATTTTAACTGTAATCATTTCATTTGTCTCCTCATGAAAGAACTAGAAAATTAGCATAAATAATGTCAAAAACCATTTTGCTCTCCCCCTGCTCCTTTCCCATTTCCCCACGCCTCCTGTTGTTAACATGTGGCTAAAGGTATTTTAACATTGACAGGCAAACCAAACCCCACATATCATGAGCAAGAGAAATATTCTTCCCTTAGGATAACATATCTTCTGCGATGCAGTGGGGCAGGGGGTGGGGGGGAAGTGTATTCATGGTCCACTTTAAGGAGTAACTTTCCCCACCCCTGGCCCAGCTTCCACCCCCAGCCAATCTGAGAAATATTTAATGTAACACACTCCAAACACCCACATCCAGTGGAATGGTATGACATACCCAGAACTAATAAGTATTAGCAAATCTCATTGGCTGGGCCTAGAAATCCTAGCAGATGATGGCAATCACACAGCTACCATGGCAGGGGACTGTGCATATTTTTCCCATCCATTTGTACTCATGTTGCAGCATGGCAAAAAGTGACCTTTCAAAGGATTCTTGGGGAGAGTAAGTCAACAGATTCTCTTTTGCCCTTTTGTGTGGACCCCAGTAGTTTTTTAATGTAGTTCAGGCCGCCTTAAAGGAGACCAAAGATCTTTCCTTTTAAGGGTGCCACTGTGGATTTAAGGCTCATAAATTAGTAATAGGCTATACTCAAATCCATAGGCTCTTGGCCATGTAAAAAGTTTCATAAGCCAGACAGGATTTCAGAGTCTCCTGGTCAGACCCAGACCTGCTGGTACCTCTTCTATTTACCAGAGATCTTGGAGAGATGTGGAGGCTCTCGTTTGAAGACAGGCACTCCCCTACTCTCTCCTAAGTAAACAAACACATGGGAGGCTGGCCCTCGGCTTCTAGAGAAAAGTAAGTTCCAGGTGTTGCCATCAGACTTCAATGTGTTTTCAGTAGCTACAGCAATAGGTAAGGATGCAGAAATTCAGTGAGCCAGGGCTCTGTGCAGTATGTGACTATACCAGGTACCATTTCCCACAGATCTCAGAAATAACCAGAATGTGTGAAAGGCCCCCCAGGAAAGGAGAAGATGAGATCATTTTGTCCTCAGTGGACTGGGCGCCTCTTTTTTTTTTGAGAGAAATTTTTCCTATTATCTAAATTCCGATATGCTTATCATGTCAAGGAAAAGCTCCAAAAAATATAAACTTGGCCTTTGAATGTGTGTGTGTAGATGTACACACAGGGCTTCTTATTGACTCATTTGGGCCCGACTGTCTGTCCTTCATGCAGCAGGTGTGTGCAGCTGCATCTACTAGTAAAGAAAAGGGAGGGGGAGCAGCCTGTAGCTAGACCGTTTCTGTCACTCCAAGAGTCTGTCCATGGCTTCTCTTTGTTTTAAAGAGTTCATCCCCAGCCTCTACCCTCCTCCCCATCCCAAACACACAGAAACACAGACACACAGACACACACATACACATACACATGCCTACACACACACACACACACACACACACACACACACGCACACACACACAAACATGCCTTTTTTCCCATTCTCAGGAGTTCTCAGGATTTATATTCAGAAACTGGTCCTATGACAGCCGTCTATTTTTCACTCATCAGTCTGGCCAAGCAGCCCCTTCAGTGACAATCAATGCAGGTGGGAGTCATTTCACATTCATGTCTCCCTTAGACTCCCTGGGAATCTAATAACTACATTTCTAACTGGTTTCATAAAGCAACATGCCATCTTTATAAAGTATTTGAGATGGAATTTTTGCATGACCATTTCAAATCCACTTGGGAAAAAGCCAGGACAAGAGAGAGGGAGAAATAGCATAGTACAAGAAAAGGGGGAGTGAGTGTGAAGTCCATGGACCTGGGTACAAAGAGCAATTTTGCTCCTCACATCCCGTGTGACCTTGATCAAGTCCCTTCTCCTCTCTAGGTCTCAGTTTCCTTCTCTGTAAAATGAAAGGGCTGGATTTCACAGTCTCTAAGGGTCCTTCCAGATGCAAATGCTATGACCTTATGTTACCACCACAACTGCAAGCATGATGGGAAATCAACAGTCATATAGTAGCGTCTTTGTTTTTGCAAGAAATCTGTCTATAAAAGAAAGAGTCAAGGTTGCTCGCTCTTTATCTTTCACTAAAGAGCTAAAAATACATCCACTGCCAGTTCAGATAGGACCTACCACGTTTAATATATTCTGGGTTAGGGTTTTTCTAGATAAATCAATATCAGGATCTCCCCAAGGTGAAAATATACATTAGAAGGGAAAGACACTAGACGAGACGAGCTTTGTTTAAAAAAGAAGAAGAAATCCACCAGCGTGCTATCAGCTTTTGTGTCTGCTTGTAGTCTGTGGAGGTGGCTTGTATCTCTGGTGGCACATCAGCACACTGTGTGACAGTGTTACCACAGCCAAATGACAGTCTTCCCAGTTTGATAACACAATGCTTACAATCCCATTATTGATTCTTCCACATAAATGGCCAGTATAGAACAGAACATTCTATTTGGACTATGCTTTGCTGTGCTGGAGACAGAAGGAACCCAGAAAGCCAGAGGTTCCCAGTTCCATAAACCCTATTCCTTGCTCACTACCTGATCTGATACAAGGAGGAGAGCTCTGGATTAGCCTTGGCTGAAAACGATTGCAGGCACAACTAGACTTGATTTGTGTAACGGGTTCATAAACATAAATTTGATCTGACCTTCTGGAGGCATGAAGCCAGGCTAATAGGTGGCACACTGCAAAAACCCCCTCCACTGGAAGTTTTCCCTGGGTGCTGACTCTAGTAGCTTCACTTATGATATAGCAGCCATTCTTTCCACTTCCTGGATCTAGGATGTAGGGCACACTAAATCTGTTTCCAATAAGACTGGGGCCTAAGGGACTTTCAGCTTCTGAAAGTTACAAACCAGTGAAGTGAAAGTCATCACTATGGTTTTATTTAGACCCAGGCATATTTGTGGGGAGTTTGCTTCTCTCCCTGGGCTCCTCCTCACTCCAACCCACTATCAGTCTGGTTCCAACAGCATTATATTCCCCTCCTGACTCCTTCCCCCACAGCCTCACTACCACCTAATTCCCATCACCTGCCTCATACCCAGAACCATCAATGGCTCATGCTTCAGGGTCACATCCCATCCAAGCAACCACTCTGGCCAGCTTACCAAATGCCTGATGCTGCTGCTGATGATCTGCTCCTCCCCACCTGGACTGGCACCCTCCACACTAGACTTGCCACACTGGAACCTTCATTCCTTGGTTTTCAGTCTCTGGGCAAGTTAATACACATATTTTTGAAGCTTCTGCTCTGGGGTCCTACCCAGTTGATTGTTGCCTGGGTGGTAGCAAACAAGCCTCTTTAGCCCACCAAAATGACTGGCTGGCCCTAAACAGTAGATTATACTTCAGCCCCATATCCTATTCAGTAATCCACCCAGGCCATCTCCCTCCCATGTTTCCATCTCCCCGGAACAAAATTATCTTCTCTGAGCACTTCTTTCTTTTGTATGTTGTCTTCCTCTATTAGAATGTAAGCTCCTTAAGGGCAAGGACTGTTTTTGTCTTTCTTTGTATTCCTAATACTTAACACAGTGCCTGGCACATATTAAGCACTTAATAAATGCTTTGGGTTTTTTTTTTTTTGGAGGCAGTTAGATTCCACAGTGGACATAGTGTTGGGCCTGGAGTCAGGAAGTTCTGAGTTCAAATGGGGCCTCAGATACTTACTAGCTGTGTGACTCTGGGCAAGTCACTTAACCTCTATTTACCTTAATCCACTGAAGAAAGAAAGGGCAAACCACTCAGGTATCTTTGCCAAGAAAACCCCATGGACAGTATGGTCCACAGGGTCACAAAGAGTCCAACATGAATGAACAACAACAAATGCTTTTTTTTTTAATCCATTCATTTCTTCCTTCAGACGCATTAATGGACCCATGATCTTATCAGCTGGTTGATGCAAAAATGACTAAATTAACCCTCTCTTTGCCTTCTTATACTGGGAAATTCTCATCAATGTATTTCTGTAAATTCTCCAGAGAAAATTTACATGATGCACCAGAAATCTTCCTTCAGTTCATTTAATGCCTAGAAAGTATTAGTGT